TTTTGCGGTACGCGGGCCTCTCACTGTTGTGGCCTCTCCCGTTGCGGAGCACAGGCTCCGGACACGCAGGCTCAGCGGCCACGGCTCACGGGCCCAGCCGCTCCGAGGCACGAGGGATCCTCCCGGACCGGGGCACGAACCCGCGTCCCCCGCATCGGCAGGCAGACTCCCAACCACTGCACCACCAGGGAATTGGCTTCACTTTTAAAGAGCCTATGTTAAAAATGTACATTTACGAGAACAGCAAACTTTTGCTTCACTTTCAAAGAGCTGATGTTAAAAATTTAAGATGCTAAAGATTTTTCTTAGAATAAACTTTGCACTGAATTGGATCTGAATAGTTTTTGTTTGTTTTGTTTGTTTTTAGTTATTGGATGACTTTTACCCTATTTATTTTTAGGATATTTTAGGTATTTGCAATCACATGTTAATGCAGTTTTCTCCTACTGAACTATGTGGTTGGCCATGTCATGCCACTTCTCTGTACATTGTGGGTAACATTCTTGTTGTCTATTTATAGCTCTGAGTTGTTGAACATATGGGAAAAATAATAATCTGTGTGTATTACGTTTTTTGTTGACAGCAATAATGGAAAAATATCTTTTACAAACGATGATGTTAGAAAGCAGTGAATTATTGATAGTTTGTGCGGGGAGTTCTTGGAGAGGCTGAAAGGCTTCACTGAAGTGGCTGGTCGGGGGAGGGATGGAAGAGGTGATTCTAATGGTCTTAGAGGGCTTGCTGCTGTACTCTCACGAGGGGCTCTTAGATCTTTATGGCTCTGACATAAAATTCACTTTGGGGGAAAGTTGCTTCATGAGGTCTTAACACGGGAAATTGACGGCAGTTAGGATTTTTTTTCTTCCTTGACTTTCTACAGAGTTTTATACATGAATGTTTTCCATTTTCAACCCATTTGAGTCATAATTATAGAACGTTGTGGTTTTCAGTAACTGTAGCTTCTATAATTTAGTACTGTTGAAAAGAAGCCAAGTGATTTAAATGGTAGAGGGGCTCTATAATGTTAGGATTTAAGAAAATCAATTCTGAAAGGTCATAAATCACAACAGATCAGTGATTCAAAGAACCAGCTATATCAGAAATGCCTGAGGGGAATTTCATAAATAGAGATATCACAAATTCTGACTCAATATGTCTGGGCAGGGTCCTTGAGATTTGCATTTAAAAATACTTACTACATGATCTGATGTGCAGCCCAGTTTGGGGACAACTGTCATAGGTGAGGAGTGAAAATAAATATTAGGAAAAATCAGTACGAGTAGTGTAATTTAATCTAGAGGCTAATGATTGAAGTAAACATTTAGAAATTAGAGCCCTCCCCACATCTCCATTTTTGACTTTCTGTTGGAGCAAATTCCCAACCTCCCTCCCTTTTAGATAATTTGAAGCCCGGGTCAGTGTAGGGACACACATTCAGGTTGTACCTTGACTGTCAATGGGCTGTCAGAACCTCAAAACCCATTTCCCAAAACCTTTTTGGATATCAACAAATCTCTCGCCATTAGCCAAATTTTGTTCTTTGTTCATCTAATTTAATGGTCGAAAAGGAATGTTGCAGTTCGTTTTATTGATGTTAGCTGTAATATAGGTCACAGAGAGTATTATTTAAAAGTAAAAACACAAATATTAGACAAAGGGAGACAGGAATTCAAAATCCTGAGCTCGGCCAGTTATTAATCTTTACCCTGGGCAGGAGATCAACCTCTCTGAACTTTAGTTTTCTCATCTGCAGAAGGGAAGTAAAACTACTTAGCTTAAAGACTTGGGCTGAGCAAGGTGCTAGTTCTGTCTTATGATACTTTGCATGGTTGGAACGCAAGAAATAGCAGCTATCATTAGTAGTGTAAAAATCAGTATTAATAAAGGTTTTTTTTCCCCCAAATTGTCCATTGATTCTACAACAGGAATGTAGTCAGGATAGCAATATAATAATAGAGGTATAAAATCTTACTAAATGATAGCAAATATCTTCTTTATTTTGAAATATAGGTTGGGAAAGTATGTATTTTCTTTCATGTGAAAGTTAAAAGTTCATAGGCTTTATGAAGATAGATTCAATTAGATATTTTCTCTTTTTTTATCTAGAGTGTTTTTTGTTGAAGTTGAATAGTAAAAAAAATACAGTTATGGTAATTTTCAGAGATGGGCACTATATTATTATTATTATCATCATCATCATTGACAGTAATACCTTACATCTGTGAAAGGTTCGGCTGTTTTCAAAGCATTCTCACACGCTGTGTCTTCTTTAATCTTCTCAATACCCGCGAGAAGCAAGCGTGGCAGCGAGAACTGCACAGTCTTCAGGTGAAAGCAATTTAGAGTAGAGACCACATGGATTCCCCAAGGTCAGCGCTGCCGAGGCAGAGTCAAGGCAAACTACCCAGGACCCCTGGCTCCCAGTCTGGGGCTGTTTTTACTCCTCTGCACTTATTAGATTTCGTTGGTAATTTCTTAAAACAGAAGAGGGAACAAAAACACGAGTTGCCCTTACAGACATAAGCGTACAGAGTGAGCATCGGCGGGGAGCCGTGTCCCACAGTCAGCCAGGGCCTCCCGCAGGCAGGAGGTTAGGGCTGCTCTGAACAGCTGCCTGGAAAAGTGGGTCTCAGATCCTGGATTCAAATTAAAGTCTCCAGGTGGAGTTGAGGCTGATGTCTGAACTTGAGTCTGAGTTGGTAGCTAAGAGAAGGGCAGGTTACTCTGCTCCTGGAAGGCCACGAGCTAGGGCTTGGGAGAAGCGGCCCTGTGGTTCCCGCAGGAGGGCTGCTGCCAGGTGGTCTGAGATGAGATCCATTTGGTCCTCCTCATCTCTCTGCACTAACTGCACTGAGAGAGGCCAGAGGACAAGAGCTGCAGAGGGTCTTCTGGAAGAAAATCATGTCCGAAATGCCGGTCTTGCCGTCTCCGCTCTGGACTTCACCCCACCTGCCTGTGTTTCTCACTCTCCACTCTTCCTTCTCAGTTCCTTACAGCAGTAGGTCTGGGTTCAGAGATCACACACTCACATGTGCACACATGCTCTTTGATATTTTGTAGTGGCGAGGAAGGATCAGGGCTGGGGAGGAATGACTAAGTGGCCTGAGGTATTTTATGGCTCTAAAATGTAGTCAATTGACGTTTAGAAACAAGAGCGTGAGAGCTCATACATTTAGAAAGCTCTGACTTCAAAGGGCAGGTATTTGGCACTCAAACTGAAAGGCCTAAAACATGGCATCTCTTAAGCCTTCTGCCTTTACTCCCGGAAGCATCTCTGGAGCACAGAATACTCAACACTAGACCTTACCCCCAAGGACTGGATTGCATAGGCTCTTGAATCCCTGTCCTACTAAAGGCTACCCACCTGCTGCTTTATCTTGAGTGTACGTGGGAAGGTTGTGTGGGAGGTGAGGGGTTGGGGGCAGTGTGCTGGGAAGGGAAGGGAAGGGAAGGAGGAATTGCTGTTACACTCTGTTAGGAATTGGAGAAAGAAAAACTGCTAGGAGGAATAAGGTGAATGAGACTTTTGAAATGTAATGAATTTGAGACAGAAGAGGAAAGAATAGTTTGCATTTTCATTCATTCAGTAAATATTCATTGGTGGTACAGACATGGTGCCAGAACACTGTGTCTACATTTATGGAACTTAAACCCTAATGGGGAAGGACAAAGAAATAAAATGACAATTCATTTTTATGGATAAGCAGAAATGAGGAGGCCTCACTGGTAATGACAGAGATTGGTGGTGGGTCACAGGGGATAGAGTTGGGAGTCCTTACGAATAAGATGAAGTTAAAACGTGAAGAGTAGTAGGACACTTCCAGCAAAAGCAAAGGCCTTGTGTGTTCACAGAACTGAAAGTTTGGTTTGGTCTCAGTGGATAAAGGAAGAGTGGCCCAGAATGAGTTGGTGAGCTGGGAAGGGACATGATCACAGATGACACTACAGATAAAGTCAAGGTTACATGTTTAGGCTTTGTCTCCAGTGCAATGGGAAGGCGAAGGGTTGTAAGAAAGGGAGTGATATGATGCCTTTATGTGTTTAAAGGCAACTTTATGCCGGTTGCTGTGTGCAGGATACCTTGGAATAAAGCAGGAGTGGAACTTGAGAGGTTAGGAGGGAACAGCTTATAAAGTATTTTGAAATGCTTGGCGGCTCGGACGAGGGTGCTGGGAGAAGTAGCTGGACTTGAAGGCACATACGACAGGATTTTCTGATGAACTGGGTGTGAGAGAATCTGCTTGGTTTTGGTTTGAAACTGCTGGTTGCACATACTGAGATGGAAGTGTAGTAGAATAAAAAAATGGGTCTTGAACATGTCAAGTTCCTGTGAGAAATTTGAAGTGAGTCCAGTAGGAAGCTGGATACCTGAACCTGGGACTCAGAGGAGAGGTTTGGACTGGGAACGTGCATTTGGGAGTTCTCAGCCTGTAGATGATTCAGAGCCGCAGAAATGGATGAGACCATGAAGGAGAGGGTAAATGAGAGAGCGGTCCAGCACTGGGAACATCAGTGTATAGCAGCCTCAACATATAATAGAGGAAAAGAATGGGCAATGGAGTCAGAAGAGGAAGGAACGATCAGAGAGCGAGGGGTACTCCTCGAAGGAGAGATTGATTGCATGTTACTAAGAGGTGGAAAGAGTACAATAAAAGCAGAAGTGCCCATTGGTTTAGCAACATGGAGGTCACTGGTGAGAGATTTCAGCAGATGGGTTCAGGGGAGATGGGAGATAAAGGGAGTGGAAAAAATATGCATAGCTCTTTAGAGAAGTTTACCTAAGAAGGAAGCCTAAAAATGGAGGGATACTGGCTACTTTATGTTTATCAATTTCTTTGTCTTAAGCAATTTCTGCGTGTATTAATTTCCCGTGTCTGGTCTAACAAATTCCCACAAACCTGGTGGCTTAAACAACATGCATTTATTCTTTCATTCTTTCTGGAGGCCGTAAGTCTGAAATCAGTTTCACTGGGCCAAAGTCAAGGCTTTGGCAAGATCATATTCCCTCTGGAAGCTCTAGGGATGAATCCATTCTTTGTCTCTACCATTTTCTGGTGGCTGCTGGCATCCCTTGGTTAGTGGCCACATCACTCCAGTCTCTGCCTGTACGGGCACATTGCCTTTCTCCTCTTCCATATGTGTGTCAACTCTCCCTCTGCCTCTCTTATAAGGATGCTTGTGATTGCATTTAATCCAGGAGAATTTCCCCATCTCAAGATGCCTAGCTTAATCACATCCGCAAAGACCCTATTTCCTTGTAAGGTGACATTTACATTTCCAGGTACCTTTGAGGGCCATTATTTGGCCTACTACCTTGTATTAGGTCACTAATTCATTCCTGAGACTCTGAAGTCATTTGTTTGTAGAGTTAATGATTTTTAAGTTTATTACATTTTTCGTTCTAATTTTTCTTGCGATTTAAAAACCTCTATTAAAATACTTAAGTGTAATATTCCTTCTTCATAGAGTAATTGTGATTATTGTCTTCTAATTAATATATGAGACAATACATAAACATAACTTTCAAAGAAAATTCAACTAATAGTTTATAACAGGAATGGAATTTTCTTATTAACATTGCCATTATTGGGTACCAGGGTCAATCCGTACAAATTCTAAGTAAATAAGTAGTGAATGATTAAAACGATATAATGCAATGTTGACCTAGGTGGTTCTAAGTTTATTCCCATAGATGCCATTTAATATGTATAATTAAATTATTTTAGCATTTAGGTAATTTAATAAAATAATTTATACGTGTGTATCAGTAAAGAGACCCATAAATTATACATGTGAATGGTTTTAAGTAGATCCACTTAAACGCCTGTATTTTGTGTTAAATGTGTTCAGAACTCTACCTGTGTTGTCCTTACATGGAGGATAACTCCTACTCATCCTTTAGGATGTACTTATTTGGGACTTCCTCCAAGCAGCCTTTCCTGCCTCATCCAAAATCATAATGCCCTGGGCCTGAATCTTATGTTGCCTTTTCCTTGAGTCTGTCTACACCCACAAGACTGTAGCTGATTTATCTTGGAGTCCCCTGCACCTGCACTTTTTTTTTTTTTACTCTGGGCAGAGCTGGTTCCTGGCTACTTTGTGCCGCTATTCTTGGGCAGAAACCCGGAGACAAGCAGAATTGCCAACAACCTGCCCAGATTCTCTTCCCTCTTCTTGGACCAAACCCCACCTTCCCCATCTCATCTCACGGACACACAACAAGAAAGTGTAACTCCCTGGTAGCTCTCCCTTTTCATTTAGCATCTTTCAATGACATAGAATTTTCATACAATAAAGACTGATTTTTAAACAATCATCTCTTGTTTATGTACCTTTTTTTTTTTAAAAAAGAGCAAATTTCACTCACTTCACTGGCTTTGTTTTTTAAAAAATTAGCTTGTTTTTGACAAAAAATTTACGAGTGTAAACGAAATCCACTGAAGCCCAAAAGTGCACTCCTTTGTCTCAGGGCCTCATTCCTAGAGCAATTTCCAGACCTTTAAGAAAGTACTTTCAAACACTGTGAAATCAGGGAGAAAATATGACACAGTACTGAACTCCCTGGGCGTTTAATCCTGTGGGCCTTGCCTCAGCTCCTGCACACTTTGCAGGCCTCCGAGACGGGAGGCGTGGGTGGCTCAGGCAGCCTTGCTTCAGGCCTCTGCCAGGCTCCAGCGGGAGCAGACTGCAGAAAGCGCCCTGGTCAAGATGTCTGAGGTCCAGGCTCAGCTCCACGACTGGTTAGCTGCAGGACATTGGGTAAATCCACTAACTTCTGTGGTTTCATTTTCCCCTTCCTTAAAATGATACCATTGAACTAAATAATCTATCTGTTGCATTGCTAATAATGTTTTAGGCATCAGAATCTCTTCTTTGCATAGATCATCAATTCATACTCTAAATGAGAACGTAGAACTACTGCCCTTCTAAGATGGTTCAAATATGGAGGTTACTGGTGAGAAATATGGAGGTCGCTGTCACTAGTTGGAGTGACACAGATTTCCCAGATATTGATTAGGAATTGTCTTTGCCTACAGTTTCTACATGCGTTTTTCCATTTAAATAATCTAAAAAACCCTATTTTCAGCATCTAGTTAGCCTCAAAGCTATTTGCTTTAATGGTAGCCAAAGAGACAAAGTAGGGGGACACCATTTTAGGTCAACGTGGCCTTGCCTGTACCAACACTTTAATCATCAAGCCCATCATGAGATGCAATGTACTCACCACTGGATGAAGTGGGGTTCCTGGAAACATAAATTGCATCTGCTGGGCAAGCATTGCTGCTGCAGTTTTTTGCTGGATCAAATTGTTCCTCCCGTTAATTTCGAGTTGAGTTTTTAAATGTGTTGGAGGGTGAAGATACTTGCAGTTCTCTCTTGAACAACGGCCCTGGAAGAAAGAGTTTTGGTCTTAGGACTGTCATAAGTAGCTTTCAACTCTGTTGTCAACCATTTCACAGTCATTCCTTATACACGAAGGTGTGTATCTGTGTGTGTGCACATGCGTGCACACGTATGTTGGAACATACAAGGGGTGAATCAGGCATTCGATGATTATCAGCCTTGCTCAGACCTGTTGAACAGAGAAGCGTCCTGAAATGTTGTTGTTTTTAGTGGATTCTAACTGTGACAAAAGACCCTAAGGAAACGTGACTGCTGAGAGTAAAGTCGGACCCTTCTAGGCAGTGTGGAAGGCCGTCAGAGGAGCATATTTATTGTGACTTATCAAGAGGAAGCTTTGAACTTGCTAAACGTTGGTTTGTGCTGGAGTGATGACAAAATGCGAATAACTGTGTGACACATTTGTGCAGCGGGGAAGGTAATCAGAAGGTCTTGAAATGTGTGCTCCAGGCTGGCTGAAGACATCCCTAAACCAAATGATTGAAGAAGAGGCGGTGGTAGAATAGGAGCAGACGTTTCTTAGTAACTGATGCACAGGTGAAATTTCCAGGCATGAACTCAGATAATCACCTGCAGCAGAGCAGTTTGCTATAATACACGAAAGCTGCAGCCCATGTCCCTGCCCCAATCCCGTGACAGTTGTATAAAATTAAATGTCACAATATGAGGTAGTGAAGAGCGTTTACAGCTAAAGTAACATCGGGATGTTAAAGTTGGCAAAGTGAAAAAAAAATTAATTAGGTGACAGGTGTGCCTAAAACCAGTCTTGAAGAGTAATCACAAATGGTGGTGTTTATACTGAAATCCCAAGTTTTCAAAACTACCAGTTGAGAGAATCATGTTGATATGTGAAGTATGCAATTTCTGGAGAAAGAATAATGAACTGTGTTAACCAGTATGGGGATTGTCATTCTCTAAAGAATTAGTCTTATTTGCACCCAAGAAAAGAGAATATGGGTTTGTTTACCAAATATAAAAGTAATTTTAAAAAGCAAGCTGGGTGGATCTGGGCAAACAAATTTGTTTATAGTCATCCTAATTCTAAACATCTGGAGTTCGCACGCTGCCCCCTGCTCATTTCAGCTGTACTTGTGGTGGCGCAGGCTCCCTCCCAAATGTCAGCCTCCTACACTGCCTCGGAGAAGGGCAGACAGGGGTCCTGGGCTCAGCCTGGTGCTCTGCACTCATCAACCCGTGTTAGCAGCATGAGAGGCTGTGCCACCCTCTGTAGGGAGGACACAGAGGCGGGCACCGGGGACCCCAGAAGGAACTGGTCACGTTTCTGCTAAAGTTATTCTGTAACAATGGGCAAGGGCAGCATGTCTCCTTAGGCTCAAGTTCATATTGTCGATGTTTCATTCAGCATCCTAAGGGAGAAAACAGACATCTTGGGTCAAGTACTGGAAGGTCCACTGTTAAAATTCTGGCAAACTGGACCCACAATTTAAAATAATCCACTTTGTTGTACACCTGAAACTAACACAACATTGTTAATCAACTGTACTCCAATACGAAATAAAAAGTAAAAAAAAAAAATCCAAGTCAAAGCAGTCTAGAAATCTCTTTCTCTCTCCATCTACTTCTGTCTGCAGATTTTTAAGGTAAAGTTTTAATCCTAACTTTACTTTGCTCATTGTTTTGTGATGTCCTAGGGTCCCTCTAGCCCTACCAACCTGCTTCAGGCATGTCTTATTTTACTTCTCTTTCTGTCCTCCCTTGACAATTGCCCAAGTCTCTGGATTTTCTAAAATAAAATCTCCAAGAAAACATTCAGATTGGGCCAGCTCCTAGAGCACAGGAGTATGACCAGTCTCTGGACTGGCTGCCTTATGTCAGGTGTCCAAATACATTCTTATCATCTATTGTGGGAGGTGGTCACGGGACGTGGCTACTGCCCATCGTCAGGGGTGGAAGAGAATTGAACAGAGTGACATTTCTTGTATAGAGGATAAGTCTCCCCAGGCTTCTCTCCGACAAGCTCAATTCAGACTCTCTTCAAACACAGTCAGTTCACTTGGAAGATGACACCCAGAGAGGCTCATGTATACAGGGTACACGTATGGGCCTATGTGTACAAATGTACAAAGGGCCTCATGTGGGGATTTGGGAAAACAAAGTTCCATAGAATGGAGTTGGAATTCGTGAAACATCCACACTTCTACCAGTTTGGCTATTATATTTTGCTCGTTCATATAATTGTCAATTTGATCATTAGTCTTCTAATGTAATGCTTCAGGTAAAAATTTCAATGAGGCTAGAAAAATATGTTTTTTTTGGTTAATGCTGTCATCTCTTGATACAACTGGGACTCTTAAGGAACTACATAGACTATTTTCAGCCAATGGAACATGATTTACAACATCGAATTAGTAATTTATTGATGGAGCCTTCTTTTCCATGAGAATTAATGCAATTTCCTACTGTTCTTACTTACACACTTGGAGTGAGGTATATTATTGATTACCCATGTACCAGACAATTTATACATGGTTATCTCATTTTCTCCTTATAACAGCTGTAATGATCCCTGTTTTACAAAACAGCAAATGTACTCAGAAAGATGAAGAAACTTTCCAAAGGTTATATAATTGGTAAGTGGTAGGGCTGGATTTTAAATCTAGGTTTATCTGACTCAATTACCTCACTGTACTAACCTATTTATTAGCAACAGTTAAAAATCCAGGGAGGATAAAAATCTAGCATTCTCCTTCATAGAATAATAGGCTACTTAACACAATTTAAAATATAATAGAGGGCTTCCCTGGTGGCGCAGTGGTTGAGAGTCCGCCTGCTGATACAGGGGACACGGGTTCGTGCCCAGGTCCGGGAGGATCCCACATGCTGCGGAGCGGCTGGGCCCGTGAGCCATGGCCGCTGAGCCTGCGCATCTGGAGCCTGTGCTCTGGAACGGGAGAGGCCACAGCGGTGAGAGGCCCACGTACCGCAAAAAAAAAAAAAAAAAAAAAAAAAAGCCTGCGAGTCCGGAGTCTGTGCTCCGCAACGGGAGAGGCCACAGCAGTGAGAGGCCCGCGAACCACAAAACAAAAAAAAAAAAAAAAAAAAAAAAAAAAAAGAAAAAGAAAAAGAAAAAAAAAAACATAACAGAATATATATGAGGATTTGGGAGTGGAGAAAGATCATTTGCCTGGGCCTGTCTGTCGGAAGGGGGTCAGAAGAGTGGTTAGGCTTACAGGCTCTGGAGGCAGATGCCTGGGCACATAAGTTGGCTCTGCTTTTTCCTACATTTGTAACTTCGAGCAAATTACTTGAATTTCTTGTATATTGGTGTTTTCATCTATACAATGAAAATAATTATTGTGTTTTCCTCTAAAGGCTGTTGTAGGATTAGATGAGCTAATACAGGCACAAGGTGTAGAGAATGCCTGGCACGTAGTAAGCACTGGGGAAGTGTTGTCAGCATTACCAAAGAAAGAAAAGATATTTGTATGTCATTTTCTTTACAGTAAATGCAGGATTACGGATTTAGTTATGTTTTGATTGGCTTTTTGTTTCTCCTCTAGAGTAGCTTTTCATTTCAAAACATGATAAAAGTAATCAGTACTTAATTATACTTATTCAAATATCTTATATTTAAAATTATTTTCAAGTCTACAGGACATTTCTGCAAGTATCCATATTTGAGGAGAGAGCCCTGGAACATAGTTCAGTCTAGCATCAATATTTTGAAGGGTGTTGCAGCACAGATGTATGAGGCATACAGATTCAAAGCCTGGGAAGCTCCAGGCAGCAGAATTTTAGTAAGGGATACTATAGGACTCTAAAATCCTAAAGGAAAAGTTACTGTCAAAATATAATTATTTGACACAGTAAACAATTGGTGAGGAAGTTTTTGTTAAGGCGTAAGATCTGTCAGGATACACATCATCGCACAAAAGCTGTTGATTATCAAAGCAAGTTGTCATAACCCGACAGGAGAGGGCAGTGAGCAGAAATGTAAAGCATCTTTGTATATCATTGTGAAACAAAACAGAAGTGTCAAAAATAGCGTCTCCCAATTTTAGTCCAAGACGAAAATGTCTTGGGAAAGTCTTCCTGTGGCTGCTAGGATTGTTTTTTTTTGTTTGTTTTATTTTAACTCTTCCTCCCTTGGTTAAACACTGTTTCCGAGAGATAAGAGAGGTGAGGATCCAGCCCCTGGAGAAGGGGACTGGCACAGCTTCTGTGGGATGGAGTGGGAGGGCACCATTCCAGAGTCTTTGTGAAGAATCTTCTAGAACTGGAAAATGGGAGCCCTGGAGGAGTCTAGGCAGATGGTCCCACACCAGGGTCTAATGTGGAGATTGCAGCCCTCAGGGGCTCCGCCCACCCCGGGTGGGATGCAGCAGGTTTAGAAATGACAGGTGGTCTGGATCACACTCACCATTGTTCTTGGTCTATTTCCGAACTAGGGTCTCATTCCTTCCTTCATTCAACAAATATTTATTGAGACCTTGCCGTCTACCAGGTCTTGTGCTAAGTGCTAGTTAACTAAAGGTGAGTAAACACAAGATCTGCTGCCTCCCTGCCTGAAGCCTGCAGTCAGGTGGTGAAGACGGATATTAGCCAAACAGTGACACAAATAAATGTATAATTACAAATTGTGGTCCCTGTGCTGGAGGAGGAGGCTGAGAGAGAATGGTGGGAGGGGGTCGGAATTGAGACTGGTGGCAAAGGAGGGCTCTGAAGAAGTGACATATTTAAACTGAGACCTGAAGGATGAGAAGGAACTTGGCAAGGGAGTGAGTGAGGGCTAAAGTGTGTGTGTGTGTGTGTGTGTGTGTGTATTTGTGTGTTGAGGGGGAGAATACAAAATGAGGACAAAAGGAAGAGGACGTGCTAGGAGAATGTACCATCTGGGGGCCTTCTTGAAGTTTCTCAAGGCTGGAATACAGAAGGGGGTGTGGGTTGCAGTGGGGGGATGATAAGAGATAAAACGGGAAGACGTAGACTAGAACCAGATAACAAAGAACTTTGGGAGTCAGGTTAAGG